GACCATTGGTGGCCATCTTGGTGTGGCCATCATCTTGGTGTGACCATCTTGCTGTTGCCATCTTGAGGTGCCCATCTTCTCCAGAACTTCCCCATCTTACCTTCCTACCTTTGTGGCAACCATTTTAACGTGGCCACCAAGCAGGGAAGGGTTGATAGCCCCACCCCCCCCACATCCCCCCTCTCTCCAAGGGGAGTTGGGTGATGGAAGAAGAAGGTGACACCATCTTCTCCTGCAGCCATCGAGCAGAGCATCGAGCAGGAGGAAGGTCTGAACCGTTCCTCGGCCGACCTACGGATCCGGAAAACACAGGTAACCTTCCTCCTCCTCCTCCTCATCATCATCCTCCTCCTCCTCCATCATGGTGGTGGCCACCAAGGTGAGGTTCTTCTTCTCCTCCTTCTCCTGGTGTCCCCTCAGCACTCAACGTTGTCCCGTAAGTTCGTGGAGGTGATGACCGAGTACAACGCCACCCAGTCCAAGTACCGCGACCGCTGCAAGGACCGCATCCAGAGGCAGCTGGAGATCAGTGGGTCACAGGAACGGGGTGGTGGGATGATGATCTAGAACACACCAAGGTGGAGAAGGTGTCACCTGAGGTCACCTTCCCACTGTATCTCTCACTCTCTCTAGCTGGCCGGACCACCACCAACGAGGAGCTGGAGGACATGTTGGAGAGTGGGAAGTTGGCCATCTTCACTGATGATGTAGGTGCCTCGTGGTTGAGAACCTCTGGAGGTCCTCAAGAGATCAATGGGTGACCTAGAACCCAACCAGCTTTGAGTAGAGGTCAATGAAATGCCCCATCATGTGAAAACCGGGTGGTCTTCTGGAGCTCTTGGGGCTTTTTGAGGGACATGGTGGCTGTTGGGTCACCTAGAACCCATTAGGTCATCCAGAACCCCACTGGGACACCTAGAACCCACTTGGTTCTAGAACTGGAGATGCCCTGAATCATTGGGTGACCTCAAAACCATGAGGTTCCTCACGACCTCCTGGGTTACCTGGAGCTCCATTGGGTCATCAAGAATCTATTGGGTCACCTAGAACACATTGGGTCACCTAGAACCCAAGGAGAGGCCCCGAATCATTGACTGACCTCAAAACCATGAGGTTCCTCATGACCTGCTGGGGTAGCTGGAGCTCCATTGGGTCACCAAGAACCTACTGGGTCACCTAGAACCCAAGGAGATGCCCTGAATCATTGGGTGACCTCAAAACCATGAGGTTCCTCATGACCTCCTGGGTTACCTGGAGCTCCATTGGGTCACCAAGAACCCACTGGGTCACCTAGAACCCAAGGAGATGCCCTGAATCATTGGGTGACCTCAAAACCATGAGGTTCCTCATGACCTCCTGGGTTACCTGGAGCTCCATTGGGTCACCAAGAACCCACTGGGTCACCTAGAACCCAAGGAGATGCCCTGAATCATTGGGTGACCTCAAAACCATGAGGTTCCTCATGACCTCCTGGGTTACCTGGAGCTCCATTGGCTCATCTCCAGCTGAAGGAACCTCCCCCCCACCCAACGTTCTCTCCTACCAGATCAAAATGGACTCCCAGATGACCAAACAGGCCCTGAACGAGATCGAGACGCGACACAACGAGATCATCAAGTTGGAAACGAGCATCCGTGAGCTTCACGACATGTTCGTGGACATGGCCATGCTGGTGGAGAGCCAGGTATGGGGTAGGGGAGGGGATGGAGGGGAACTTGGACCTGCCCACGTTGAGGTCCAGGAGCTCCACAAAGCCTCCAGTGAAGCAGAAGATCCCATGGATCCCTCCTACCCCCCAAA